ACATTAGAAAACGCAATTTGACATTCATACTTTCTTTGCTCAATCAAATCTCGGCATGCATAAATGTAACTGTTTTGAGTGAATATCTGTGGATAATGTCATCTGAAAATGTTCAATCAACATCAACATCAGTGACGCAACGGCATCAAACAAAGGAGTGGCGCGAGTCAATATCGTTGTGTCCACCGTGCGCTGCAAGATATGCTCAGAGTCTCAGGATATTGAATGACACAAATTTCTTAAAGGACAGCTGTGGATGGATACCGCGATGTTAAAGGGAATGTAATCAATGGTGCAACTGGCCACCCGGTTGCTCTGGAGTTGGATTCAGAACTCTAGTCGGGTTTCAATCCCGCAGATTCTCGATTGGGTTCATGTCTGGTCCCAATAAGGGCCAGTCCATGAACGGAACATTCTCATTATTCCAAAAATCCTTGTTACCCACTGACTTGCATGGGGATGTGCATTATCATGCTGAAACACAAAATGGTTACGACCGCCATATTGATCCATCATTGTGAGTACAATGAAGCCGGACGAGGATATTAATCCACAACGTTGATCATTCAAGGGCTGCCGTTAACCACTACGATCTGGGATCGGAAGTTGGCAGTAGTAGCACACCAGATCGCTGAGACCACCCCCTTCAAAACGATCATGTTCAAGGACACAGTTTGGCTGCAGATCTTTCAGCTCGACGTCCGATAAATCCGTTGACGTCCATCTGCAAAGGACACGTTAAACCTGGATTTATCTGAGAAAATGACATCTCGCCGTTAGCTGCCTATCAATGTCTGGCAACTTTGTAGCGATGCAATAAGTTTGGACCACGGTACGGGCGACGACACCGGATGTTGGAGGCGGCAGGGTGTCTCCGCACCGTTTCGAAAGCGCTGACAGCGACGATTCGCGGTATTAGTACATCGGATATTGCGGTCCTGTTGAACTGTCAATCACAGGTGGTGTACCAAGGTCAGCGGACATACATCACTTCGTATTCGATGGCCAAAACGTTGTCTGGAGTCGGCCAACGGTGTATGGATGCACATTAAAGTGCCTGGCAATCATCATCCATCTGAAGCACCTTGGCTAACCATACCGATAGCCCTGAAGTTCCGCTCCGTCTTGTGTCAAGCGTGGCATTTTCTCCAAGTAGATTCGGTTTCCACACAATTCCAGCTGGAAGCTTTAGAAGGATAATGGATGCGGGTATGCGCATTACACAATGTGTTTCATGAATGTGGTTGTGTATACGAGAAATAATGAGAGGTTCAGTTTTAAGCTCCGAGAAGTTCATGTGGAGGCGAATGTTCTAGGGACTCGAACTCAAAATGGTCCATAATAACAGCCTTTTATCCTACATCCTCTGTATTGGAAGGGACAAAATCTCCAATAGAACCTTTAGCAAGTTCAGGACCAGCAAATACCAATTTCGTTTTAATGGCACTCCAGTACAATCTGGAAGCAAGCTGAAATGATGGTGTAAAGTGAAAAGGTCAATAAGGGATTCAAAGAGTGCCGTAAGTGCATGAGGTCACGGGTGTAGTATGGTTATCTACATAGCTGATTTTATTTGGCGATCTATATCCTGTTTTATATATTGTATTTACTTGTTTTGTTTAGCATCTATGTCTGTAATATTAGGTTTGTTTTAACTGACCAAGATTTTTCATCTTAGTTTCTGTATCATGGGTGTCACCTAGGCATGTCCAAGCAGTTATCCATATGCAGCAACAAGCGTCGATGGAATCAGAATGTTTGACCAATGGACTAACAGTTGAAAGAGACGTTGTTTTCCAACACATTTGCAGACACCTGATTGGATGCTTTTGTGAAATGGAAAAAAACACAAAAGCTTTTCAAAGAAACAAAGACAAATGATTTTTTGATATTTATTGAAAAGGTGAGGTGAAATAAACATTCTAAGGAAATTGTACAAAATATTTGACTCCCTCATCGCACCCCTCATCAAAGAGGTCAGTTGGATGTTTCCTCAAAAAAAGCTACATTTAGAATATTTAATAACTTCTAATATAGCGGTCGCGACACCGGAATTAGGTACAAAGAAATTTTTATGCTCGGTAATATTTCTACCATTTTCAAGATTCAATGCAAAATACAAAGACATATTTGCAAAAAACATATCCCAATAATGGCGCAATCAAACTAATCCGTATTGCATGGCATACATAACGATAAAATATTTCAAAACCAAAAGAAAGGGCATTGGCATTTTGATTGTTGAGATGCCTGACAATCTAGAGTCTAACTAATAACAACAAATCATGTATCCCACAATAACAGTTGTAGATAATGATACATTATAGTAAAAGCAAGGGTTGACTAAGTGTTGATTACTTACATCAAAAGCCGCAATGGCTAGAAGTAGGGGCCATCTCTAAATACGGACATGGCGTGAGTTCAAGGTTTCCATTTTTGATTGAATACTCCTCGTGTGTCTATGGACTGAAAGTATATATGTAGTAACTATTTTCTGTTTTGCATAATCATTGCTGATGTCAAGAAACCAAAATCGATTAATATCTTCTCGAGAGTGTAAAAAATAACCATATTTGTCGTGGTCTGATTTCTATCACAAACTCTATCCCATCGAATCAATATTCTTTTTGAGATGCAAATGCATAGGATCCTTCCACCAGGATGATCACACTATCATCAAACAAGCGGCATGAGTTTTATTATTACATTTGCAAAGCTGACTTCAGGCCACAAAGGTACGCATATGCAACAGAAGCAATCATCAGCGCTACTATTTTTAGTTAGACAGGACGTCATTCACAGTAATACACTGACACAATTAAACACCAGCTTCAAGCCGTTGCTATTCGCCTTACCTTGCATAGTGTGCCCTCTATTTATTCCACCTTCATCAACAGGAACTTCAAAAACCGTATGGTCAAGTACCTAGCTAACCTCAATGGGGGCGTACAAGCACAAACAATAAGAGGAACGTTATTGGACATTATATTTCCGATTATAACTTACGTGGCTTTAAAGATGATTCAAACTCCAGCTACTGGAACATATTCTGCCCTTGATCTGTCCCTTGCAGACTCCATTAAACCCGTGACACTTCACCAAGGCTGGTCATTACATGTATTGACGACTTAGAAAATGACCTTTTCATGAATATTGAATATGCTATAGAGTTGTTTTCAGATATAGCACTAAATCCACCCATTTCCATGGTTTAGTGATGAGATACAAACATGCCAGAAATGAAAAAGGCAGACAAATATTTTCGCCGACAGTCCATGATTTGAACAAATTTCAAATTTCAAACGCAAAGGCTCGACGAACTTTAAACAAAAGATACCTCTGTCTTGGGTGAGTGAGTTACAATTTTACGTCGTATCTGCATAATTTCAGTCAGACATAGTAGACAAAAAGCTGCAGATATACACAGAGTCCATCTTCAGTATCTGTGATATTCTGATGTAGTTCGTCAATGGGTTTCTATATTCTTTCATGTTTATGTGTCATGAATGTAGCACATGATGATTTTAGTCACAATATGGCTGAAATACTGCCGATGTGACTAGAAATCGTAAGTCACTTTGGTTGGCGCACAAGATATGTAAAATCATATTACATCCAACAACGACACCAAACCCAGGAATCCCTAGGCTTTCCTAACCATTTGCCTCTGTATAGATGTTACCGGAGTGGTCACGGAGATAGCACAACGGCGAGGTGGATTTGGCAGATTTCATGGCAAATAGAGCAATAAAGAAGGCCGTGGAAATCAATATATATTCATAGAACATTGCAAGTGAACGGAGAGTTTGGTTTTACGCCGATTTTAATATTCCAGCAACATCACGGCGGGGAACACCAGAAATGGGCAATGCAAGTGAAGGAGTAAGCAATAAATGTACAATCTGAATAATCAATACAACTATTACTTCAGCAGTTCATTTTACATATACGCAAAGAACTTAGTTAAGCACCGCCTGGCATATCTCACGATTGAATGAGCCCCAATCTTAACCCTTTGGAGTATATCTGTGACATGATTGGTGCAACAAAGGGACCCACTTGGCCAAATTGAAAGCTGCTTAAACAGCCCTTCAGAGGATCAGGCGGCTGACAGGGGTTATGAGGGTGGAGCGTGTTTTATTACCCACGAGGTCAACGTATGGGTAGTTGCATACTAATCTCGTACGTCACACGAGTGTCGTATCGCGTTGACCTGTGTCGTAACGACTTGACCTGAGATTCTAACGATTTGATTGGATAACCGATGACCTCTCAATTAGGTCACATTCTGACGAAACTATTTTTCATTCATAACATAAACACGTGAATTCATTCATTCTACAACTTAAATGCATTATGGGAATGTAAACATCGAGAACGTTGCCGTGTCGCTGTTTATTTATATAAGTCGAACTGAGACATTATATCCGTCGAAAACATAAACACAATGATTCCACCAGTGATGTTAGCCAGATGAAGCAACTGGAAACCAGAAACGAGGTGCTACGGGTAGTTTACTGTAGGAGGCTGTACGAGAGGCGATGACAACTGACATGCATCGTGACGTCGGTTACCAAGGCAGTGACGTCATTACAGTGTGACGTCATGCAAAATTGTACTACATTACAAAACTCTTCCGCAACCACTTTATGAAACCGGTTTCGGTTTGAAACCAAAAACATAACAAAAATACGCTATTTTGTCAATTTAATGCATGTAAGACGTGGGTAATAAATATAATACCACACTCGGTCTCATTACATACGAATTATACGAAACGAGTGTCCTTCCTATGGTATCTGACCTGCCCCGAGGTTATAAAACTTTCCTGAGTACGATCTCATGCTCAAATCCTGTTTCGTGCTCAACTCAGAACTCAGACTCGGTAAATGGAGGTTATTAAAAAATTCTGAGTACGTTTTCGTGCTCAACTTGAGCATGAAATGCTATGATATCAAGTATGCTCTGGACCGTGCTCAACGCTGAGTTCGATGTCAATAATGGCAGCTCACCTGCGTCAGATTCGGCAAGCTCGGCGGACATCCGTGTACCGGAGTGTTTCGAGATCGTTCGAACACGCTCGAAGTTTTGGGAGAAGATGAAGTCTTTGAGCGATACCGCTTTAGGCCCAGAACGATCATTTTATTTGCTCGGTTTTGCTTAATTTACCAACACAGACTGCTCGGAACTGTTCACTGCCACCTCTGTTGCAACTACTTCTCTGCCTTCGCTTTTTGCGACAGGCGCTATGCATCTGTTGGGGACAGTCTCATCAACATTTCGAGATCAACAGCGGGCAGATGTATACGGGCAGTGTCAGTGAAAATAGCGGAACTGTCGAAGGATTTCATCCAGTTTCCAGTTGGAAGGGACGCCGTTCGTGCAAAAGGGGCATTCGGCAACATTGCAGGTACGTACATGGGGTTTTCCCAATCTAAACATACATAAATGATATCATTGGTGTGGTTCGCGTCAGTGATATTTTGATTGGCTAGTGTATCGGGTCAGGGGTCGAGGACGTGTCACCAATAACAACAAATCCTTAGAATTTAGCGATGATTTGTAGCTTGGGCTTTCGTTGCGAATGAAAACTTTTTGAGTGAATTGAAAAGTGAAACATGCTATCTATAGTGAGACTATGATATATTGTACTTGCAGGTTTCCCGAATGTTGTTGGGTGCATCGACGGTACTTTCATCCGAATACAGCGGCCAACTGCAAACGAGGGAGACTTCGTGAACCGGCGAGGTTACCATTCCCTAAATGTTCAGGTAACTATCGATATGAATAAGCATAATTTAACATATACAATGAGTTTAGGGTTGGTTCGAAGATGGCGTAGGTGTTGGGTGTGATTTCTGATATGTACATTTGGAAAGATGATATTAAATTTTTCTCTTTTGTTTTAATCCTACAGATGTGCTGTGATGCAAACTTTAAAATCATCAGTTGCAATGCCAGCTGGCCCGGATCAGTGCATGACAGCCGCATTCTCGGACATCAACACTGTGCCCGTCTATTTGAAAATAGTAACCTATATTTCAGAACATTTACCTAACAGTATTGTGCAAGTGAAACCAAGATATAGTTGATGTTTTTTTACATATAATGCCAAAGTATTATAAATAATGTTATTGTTATTATTGGTTAATATGTAGAGTGAAAGTAGTGATTAGTTCTGAAAGTAGTAGATACTTAATGAGTTTCAGTTGATATACTATTATAAACATTGTCTTTAATCAAGATGAATATAAATATTCCAGCAGAAAGTGTTATTTCACACAATATGTATAATTTCAGCATTGCAATTCTTAATATCTGAAATAAATATCACATACGTTATATCTACACATTTCGCTTAATACATTATGCTGTCATCTTTTACAAGTTTTCAATTGTTTTTGTTTAAGGACAGTACACTGGCTTTCTACTGGGGGACTCAGGCTACCCATGTCGTTGGTTCCTCCTGACACCTTTACTGAACCCAACCAATCGTGCTGAGGAGCGATATAATGGTTCTTTGTGCAGGACAAAGGGTGCTCATTGAGCAGACATTTGGCATTCTGAAAAAGGCGGTTTCAGTGCCTGCGCAATGAGCTTCGGGGCCACACCTAAGAATGCAGTCACCTATGTTGTTGCATGTGTTGTCTTACACAATCTGGGGATTGAAAGGGTGATATAATTAATAATGAAGAAAATCTTGTTCCTCCAACACAAAATGCTAATGACAATTATGTACCATTAGTGACAGGTCAAAATGATGGCGCAGCTGATGTGAGACATCACATTATTCGGACATTTTCAATCATTAATCATACTACCATTGCCTCATAACAATTATATCCCTTTTATTGATTGTGCAAAGTAATATTGCTCTGCAGAAATTATTGTCACCCCTAAAAATACATGAATAAAGCTGACATTTGTGTAACACTATTTCCTTTAGAGGGAATACAATACTGTCAAAATGTTATTAAAACAACTGACAAGAACTGAAGCAATATGGTACTTAATAGACTTTATGAATTCTGCAGCAATACCATCTGGACCAGGTGAGTGGTGCAAATACTGTTTCAATTAAAAGGTTAGGCTGATGAAATACTACAATTTACATCTTCTTGATGAAATAGTTCTTACTTTCCTATTTCAAACATTTCTGCTTAAGAATGTAAGACAAAATCTTGAGTAAAATTTGATGTCATTTATTCTTCAGTTTGACAGTGTTCCAATGAGACTCCAAATTCCGCATTCATCTTAAGTTGATAGTAGATTGATTTGAATTTCGGAATCTAATTTCTTTTGATTTTTTCCTAACATTTCAATTTCCTTTTGCAGCTTCTTTTGCTCAAGTTTGATCCTTTTAGTGTCCTCAGTGGTGTTTTGATATGTTGCCTCAGCTTGATTTCTTCTCTGCTTCCGGTTTTTAATCTCGGTAAGCATAATGAAACAGACATTTGATATGTTTAGTGTAAAGTCAATTATCTAGCAATGTTCTATCATACGTTCTGTTAGGGTGACAACTTGGGATGATATTCCATGCAATTATAGTACTGTTTGCTAGTATTGCACTTGTATTATGGTAACCAAACTGCAACTTTGACAATGTAACATATGTTATATGTGGGATTACACTTTCTTAGTAAAAAGTACAGATTCTAGTATATTTTTGGTTGAGTCCCATCCAGGATTCGAACCCACATCCTCAGTCAGGCACCTAATCGCCAGCAAAAGGTATTTGGTAATATTAGTTGAAAATAATTGAGATTTTAGGAATTATGCTCTTGAAATATCTAATTTAAAGGAAACAACCCAGCAAGTACTACAGATGTTTCATGTTATACATGAGATGTGTATACTATTACATGTAAATAGTATTCAGAGACCATAAAATGTTTGTTTTACCTTCTGCTGCAGTGTCAGTTTCGTCTGCACAGGCAGTGAGTGAGTGAGTTAAGATTTTTAAGTCACATCGGCAATATTTCAGCCATATCGTGACTAAAGCAAGTTATAAATATATCAACAATTTAAGTGAAATTATAAAATTCTGCCGACGAAGGACAGTAAAATAACTAGATTATCACAGATATAGATATAAAACTAGTAACTAAATCTAAAACATTTGAACTAGAAAAGGCGATACAATATAAAACAGGCTATTGATCGCCAACAACTGAAGGTAGATCACCATACTAGGGACCATGGGGACTTACAGTACATTTGCTTCCTGCATGGACCCTAGCTGGATTTACACCATCCCTTCAGCCATTGGCGACAGAAGAGAAACCTAGCCATAAATTAAAAGTACACATATTCTACGATTAAAACCTGGTACACTTAAATTGACTAAATGTTTTGGGACTTACGTACCCTCTCAGGAGGACAATAATTTTACGCTACTTCAACCCCCTTCGAGGATACAGCCACTAACAATATCAGTTACTAATTTAAACTACCAATAATAAAATATATATCTATTTACAAATCAGTTAGCAAGTCTAATTTTTTTAAAAAGGCAATAATTAAATGAGAACTTATATGACTAAAAGATCCTTCATAGTTGTTACTTTGAAATAAATATCCCTTGTGATGGAATATTCAACACAGTCAAGCAAGACATGCTTGACCGTGATTCGTTCATCACAAAGGGATACAAACTGGAGGATCCTCACCTTTCAATAGGTACTCATGCGTATATCTTGTGTGGCCAATACGACATCGTCGTATGATGACCTCTTCAAATCTGGACTGACAACCCAAGTAAGTGTTACCGATATAGGGTTTTATTGCATGTAATTTATTGATACCTACTTGGGTGTCCCACTTCTTTTGCATCAGATCGCGGATGTAAGATCTAATGCAAGCTTTGTAATCAGAGTATGGGAGCAGGAGTGATGTCACAGATTTGTTGAGTGCAGCCTTAGCAGCAATATCAGCCATCGTGTTCCCAGAAATGCCAACGTGGCTGGGTAACCAACAAAAGACGATGTCGCATTGGCCAGTAGCAAGCTCATTATACAATTCAATAATTTCTAATAAAAGTGGATGTTTGCAAGAAAGATTTTTTATAGCCTGAAGACACGAAGAGAATCTGAAAAGATGATATATTGTTTATATTTACGGTGTTTATTAATATATTTAAGAGCTGTTAGTATTGCGTTTTGCTTCTGCTGTGAAAATTGAACTGTCATTGGGTAGTCTGGAAGATATTGTTTTGGACCCAATGACAGTGGCACTAACTAACCGCGCCGCCATCCTTGGACCCATCTGTAAATAAGGATTTATAGGTATTATATTTACTTTTTAATTGATTATATTCTTGTTTATATTGTAAGTCATTAGTTTCTGATTTTTTAAATTTATTGAGTGTTAGGTCGACTTGTGGCCTAACCAATTTATAAGGAGGAGAAGAAAGAAGACGGGAAGGAGATATATTCTCCAACTCAATGCCAGCAGCAGAAATATATTGTTGGATTCTTATCCCAAGAGGTGGGACAAGTGAAGGTTTTTATTATACAAATCCTCATAAAGAGCATTAAAACGCAAGTGTGTGGCAGGATTGGATTCATTAGAATATAACTTTGTGATATATTGTAGGGACAATTTGATACGGCGAAGTTTTAGAGATGGCTCATCGGCCTCAACGTAGAGACTGTCAATGGGAGAGGTTCTGAAAGACCCAAGACAAAGTCTTAGACCCTGGTGATGGATAGAATCAAGTAGTTTGAGGTTGCTTTTACAGGCCCCACCATATACGATAGAGGCGTAATCAAGCTTCGAGCGAACAAGTGATCTGTAAAGGTGTAGGAGCGTAGCTTGATCCCCTCCCCACCTTGAATTAGACACGACTTTCAATAAATCGAGTGCCTTCAGGCATTTAGTCTTCAAAGACTTAATATGTGGTAAAAAGGTCAAATGCTTGTCAAAAATCAGTCCCAAAAACTTGGCTTCCTTTACAACGTTAATTGGAGAGCCATCCAAGTACAGTTCGGGATCTTTATGAGGTTTATATTTTCGACAGAAATGTATACATTTGGTCTTTATCTGTGAAAATTTAAAGCCATTCTCAAGTGACCATTTATGAATTTTATTTAAACACATCTGTAATTGTCTCTCGATGGTATGCATATTTTTACCACGACATGAAACGTTAAAATCATCCACAAACAATGACCCATCTATTGAGTCATTTAATACGTTTGAAAGACTATTTATTTTTTATGCTAAACAAAGTAACAGACAAAATACTACCTTGTGGAACCCCTGATCCTGATTATAATGGTCAGACAGGGTTGATCCAACACGAACTTGAAATTGTCTGTCTGCTAAAAACTGTGCTATAAACTGAGGCAAACGGCCTCTCAAACCAAAGTCATGTAAATCTCTTAAAATGCCATGTTTCCATGTTGTATCATAAGCTTTTTCCAGGTCGAAAAGATTGATACAGTATGCTGATTATTTACAATGGAATTTTTAACAAATGATTCCAGCCGAACCAAATGGTCAATAGTGCTTCTATTTTTGCGAAAACCACATTGGATGTTAGTAATAAGATTATTGGATTCCAGAAACCATACTAATCTATTATTGACCATGCGTTCCATGGTCTTGCAAACGCAGCTAGTTAGTGAAATAGGTCTGTAGTTTGATGGATCTGTATGATCCCGGCCAGGCTTAGGTATCGGTACAACAATGGCATGACGCCACGAAGGAGGAAAGTGTCCTGTTGTCCAAATATTATCAAAAATGTTCAGAAGTGTTTCAAGACATGCGTTGGGTAAATGTTTCAAGAGCTGATAGTGGATATTATCAGCACCTGTTGCCGTATCATGAGCTTGCGCTAAGGCAGTATTCAGCTCATGTAGGGAAAATACTTCATTATAATCCTCACCATTAGCAGAGTGAAAGTTAATTTTAAGTTTTTCGTGATGATCTTTATATTTCTGAAACTTTGGATTATAGTTTGATGAGTGAGAATGTGTAGCTAAAGTT